TACCTATATATATATGTGTGTGTATATATATATATTATCTAAATATTTATATATACTTGAGTCGCATACCTATCAACCATCGCACTTTGTACACAAATGTCTCCGTATTCCTATCTGCAGATACTCGGCCAATTTGCTCAAAGAAATCGACGTCAATGTGATCTACATAGACTTGCGGGACTATCCCATGCCGGTTTATAACGGTGATGATGAGGAAGAAACCGGGTTGCCACAGTCGGCCAAAGATCTGAAGCAGAAGTTCATAGAGAGTGACGGGCTTCTGTTTACTTGCCCAGAGTACAACGGGTCGGTAGGTGTACTGTTGCTAAGTAATGTCGGACATTCTGGGTATATCGATGGGCAGTACCCGCACGTGTGCACGAAATTATCACGTAGATATATAGTTGCATGGTTTGTCACGTGTGTATGTATATATAGATATATATATATATATATATAGTCGAGGACCTGTGTTTGTATACGGCATGCATGTATATGTATATATGCGCGTGCGCCCATAAAAAGGGTTTGCGTTTGGAGGTGGACGCGATTGATCATTTGTCTGGTAGAGTACATTCAAGCCGATTTGTACACGACCTTGTACAAATAGACACGCGCGTTTACATTTTTATATATGCTTTAGGTGTATCTGTTGGAGTTGCGTTGTGCATACCTAGCTATATACCCTAAACCCTAAACCCTAAAACGAATTTGGTGTTCATAGCACATCCGTCGTTTCGCAGTACGTGTACGAGCCAATTTGCACTGTTCAGTAGAAAGTCTTGTCACCGTCTACTGTCACGTGACTGTGGTGTATAGCAACACTACACACACTATTGTTAAGTACAAAGTCTTCACCGTCTACTGTCACGTGACTGATGTCTATGGTAACACTACACACACTATTGTTAAGTCTATTGTCTTCATCGTCTACTGTTAGGTTACTGCGCTGTTTAAGAACACCGTAGACTGGATCTCCAGGCCACACATGAAGGACGAGCCGACCTATGTTGCCTTCAAGGTATGTGCACTACAACCACTGACATACCTACCTGTCAGTGCACTACAACCACTGACATACCTACCTGTCAGTGCTCTACAACCACTGACATACCTACCTGTCAGTGCAATACAACCACTGACATACCTACCTGTCAGTGCACTACAACCACTGACATACCTACCTGTCAGTGCACTACAACCACTGACATACCTGCCTGTCAGTGCACTACAGCCACTGACATACCTACCTGTCAGTGCAATACAACCACTGACATACCTACCTGTCAATGCACTACAGCCACTGACATACCTACCTGTGCTTGCAGTATCTGTGCACATGTGGGAGAGTCCGTGCACACGTGCCTATCCCTGTGAACCTCTACAATGACTGTGTGGGACCTGTTTATCACAAGTGAGGTGCATATCTGCCCAGGGCTCGGAATTGAATTGTCCCAGAAAGTAACATATAAACTGCGTTATTCGTGTATGAGAGCCAATCGACTATACGGTTCGTTTTAAGTTGTGTGTCCAAATAGATAGGATACAGCTACGTGCCATCAGAACAAGTATAAAGATAAATGTGTGTGTGTTTTCTCATTCAGGGCAAAGCCGCCGCTCTGCTGTCTACATCGCCGGGGGGATTGGGCGGACTTCGATCATTACACCACTACCGTGAGATTCTAACCAACCTGGGGTGCAATATCATCGCCAATCAGGGTATGTGAGGTGGGTTGGCTGGTGTGACGTGTCATTTTGTAAGCACGTGGTATTGTACTAGGTTTTAAAAGGGTTGGTGTCTAGATGTGTATTTATGTGTGTATGTTTGTATATGTATGTTTGTATATATATATATATATATATATATATATATATATATATATATATATATATATATATATATATATATATATATATATATATATATATATATATACTATAT